TAATGTAAGTCGAGGTATAAGGTCAAATACTTGTTTAGACTGGTATTCTGTATTCCTAATTGCCAGTAGTGCTTATCCGAATGCTCAAGAAACGTCCTCGAAGCTAAAATATGTTCTCACAAGTATTTATCAAGTTAGTAAGCCCAAAACAATTAAGATATAAATATCTCGTATGGAAACTGTAAGTCAGCTTGTGGTATTAATTTAGACGTGTAATACTCCAACTTTTATGTAATGATTTCAGTGGGTGTCTCATTTCCGTTAATACCAGTATATCTTTAGTACTTAATAAGAGGGTTAATAGGAATTACATTTGATTCAAGTCTTATTTTCTGGGCAACAAATATATTAACTTCATTTTATTTTTAAAGCGAAGTTTGTATAAATGTGGAACAGACGTTAATTAGCTATTCGCGTGATGAAGGCTCGACTAAAATATACAGAAAATGTGAACAATTTTTAGGTATGGCGATCTGAAATGTCGTCATATCTCAAAGGAAATGAAATATATGAGTATAGAAGTTAGAAAATATATAGGGGGCATTAAATATTAACAGACCACATACTTCAAGGATTATTGAGTTTTGGGGCGTAGTCCATCATCTGGTATTCTAAGAAAACACAACGTTTGGAAAACTGGATCTGTCTTCGTCCTCAATCACTGAACAACCTAACATGAGGACGAAAATTCCCAGTTTTCCAAACTTTGTGTTGTCCTAGAATACCAGACGATGAACGAAATAAAAAAATCACTAATCCAGACTAATAAACCATCGTCAGAACCCTTTAGAATCGACTAGTAAACAAAACTTGGTAAGCAATTAATTCTAAATTTAATCATACGTAATAAATTATGCTTAATAATACAGTTTGCTTAATTAAATGTGCAAGCATCTACGCTACACTCTTAGTGACTTACACTGAAATACAAAGGACATTAAGTAAGTTTGCAGCCAACTTCAATAAAGTGAAATTTTAACTTTAATTTACATCATTTAACTAGGAGTAAATAAGTGCTTCATCCAAATGAAAGTAAACAGAGCTCTGTTTTTCCTTTATTGAAGCTGAATGACTTCGTCTAAGCTAAATAGCAAATAAACGTGACACCGACATATATCCATAGAAGGAGGAAAAAATGCCTAACATGCGTGAAAAGAAAGCTTTGTCTATGAGCAGAGATTTCGAGATTGAGTGGGCGAGAGGAAACATGCTTGAAGGTAGAAGTGGGCGTTTAAGTAATCTTATTTGTTAATGGAATGTGGATTATGTATGCCTTATTACACTTGCCAATTATTTATGCACAGGTTTAGTTACTATAAATATTATTCAAACTAGTGTGCAGTAACTACCAATTTGATCAGAATTAGCATTTTTATTTAAATGTTATGTGTATATTTGGTTAAAATATTAATATTAAAACTATTTAATTTTGAATATGAACATGTTAACAATTTGAAATATTCTTAATTTTACCACAAACTTTATGACAACTGAAATAAAAGGCTTCCTAGTTTGAAATGCATTTATAATTCGTTATATTATAAGAATTTAATTAAATCTGTCACGCATTGTCGTATTTAAAATATGCTTTTTCAAAATAACAGTTTTATTTCAAAGTATTTACTGCAAAATGGTGGCTGTCTTTTGGGTAGTTTGGCCATGTACTCTTTTAGTAGTTTAATACCAGACTACCGGACAACATGGCCCAGATATCCAGAAAACAAATATGTTCAGGTTTGCCGTCATGAGAACCAGAAATCTTGTTTTCCATAACAAAAAATTCATTGATGGAATAATTATTAACTTAAAATGCTAAATACAGGATAATTTCAATTTTATGTCACAAATACATATGATACTATTTTACATATGTCTCCAATTCATTTATTAAATTGGTAGTTTCATTTTGTTACTTGTTTAGTGGGTTTAACAGTTACAAGTTGAAGAAAATTAGAAGGTGAATTTTAGAAAATTGCACACACACGGCAGTAACACATTTCTCATTGGTGGACGCTGAGCGTCCTAGGTGCAGGCTGGACACCGTTTAGTTTACGTATGGCAACACATTCACCGATCACCGTAAACTTCTAACGTTACTATTATGTACATACATTCTGTAAGCATGCAAGTGGACAGAGTGTGAACATAGAAGGAAAATAATAAAGTATTTTAAAATTATTTCCAACGTTAGATTTAAACATCATGTCCTTCAAGCACGTTAAGTTTTACACATACTTCATGCTTTCTCAATTGCCTAAGCGTATTTTAAAGTGATATTTAAGCAGGCGTTTAAATTAATATATATTATTTGGCTGTTGTATTTATTAGGAAAATGCCATTCCGTGATGCAGTAAGGAGATATTTATAACAACCAATATTTTGTAGTACTGAATTCAGTTTTAAATAAACATTTCTACGCATATTCCAAACTTTATAATGAAACTCTGCCTTTTGACATGTAAAAATATTTATAGTCTGCTGACTTTGTTTGTTTTATGCATAAAGAAATAAACTGTAAGAATGAAATTGACGTTTTACGCGTCTGATATTTGTACTGAATATCACAATAGTTGATGTCGTCACTTTATGACTGCTGTCATAGACTATAGCTCTAGCCATGGAAGAAGTGGTTTATAGAACATGCATTTAGCGTCTCTTCATTTACTGTGTGTTTAACAGATGAGCAGTGAATGGTGCATAAGCAACTACATATAATATTCAATAACTGAATTTTAATTGCAAGCATTGAGTGTTCAGTAATTGTTCTTAAATCTCAAGAGAAGATATTCCTGGGATATATTCAAATAAATGTTATACAGTATAGTCTTGGGGACGAGCATTTATTTTATTTGTTGAGTTTCTTAGTAGAAACCATCTGTGTGTGAATATTATGTAAAATTAATAAATAGAGTGATTTATGCGTGGAAATATTTGATTTAAATTTAACCTGCTTCACAAATGTTCTTTACAACGCAAATGTGCTAAAATGACTCTGTATTTGTTGGATTATCGGTGTTAGATTCTCATAGGAAAAGATTTTCATGACTTGCCCCCAGCTTAATGTTCAGTGTTCGCTGTTATTTTCCATGGGGTAAAGTGGCTGGGGCGTGAACCTAACCACTCGCCATAGTATTCTTTACGAAACCTAGGGTGCAATGTTATCTATAGTTTTTATTTTTGAAAGACCGCGAAACATAGGGCAGGGACACTTGAATTTTTGTTTAAAACACGAAGTAAACTAGACAGAATCGTCAGTGCTTCTGAAATTACCAATGTGCAGCATTCTAAGGAATAAAAGAACACTGATTTCTTTCTACCTCTTAGAATTGTTACACATCTCTTGAGTTATCCATTTTGTTTAAAACCCACGAAAATACATTTGAATTGATTTAGGGCCCGTGTTCATAAGTTCGCTGGACTTGATTTTCAAAGACGAATTTCCTCTGTTGATATTTCCACACAATTACTGAACACACTCTATATACATACTTATTTTACTAACACAAAATGAAAATAATACACTCTATTACACTTTGTAAATATATTGCGATATTTAAATTAAAATGTGAAAATGAAATATATTCATTCATTAAAATTGTTCTCAAATTTATTCTACTGATGAATCGGTGAATGTGTTATTAAGAACCTTGGCAACGCGATGTCATGCAGTTGTGGCAACATTGTAAGCAGTCTATCTGAAGCGATGGATATGGTACAAACATTATTTTCGGAGAATGAATACTTGTATATGTAAGCCTACACAAGAAAATATATTTGATTTCTTCAGCTGGTCACAGGATATGACATTTAACAAATTGGTAGAAATTTCAATATTGTGGTCTTCTGGGATGATCTAATATAAACAGATACCAGCGTTTATTAGCAACATGCTTCACGATATAGCATTGCAATCTGTTCATTCATCCATTCAATCACTATTCTAATATAGGAAACCTCTGTAGATACTTCGTTTCAACCAAATAATATTATAACTTCAGTATACCAATTTTGTTACATAAATATCAAATCAAACTGTACAGTTTTTCTGAAATGGTACGTTTAATTAGTTATAATCCAAATCGAAATATGAGTCAGTTCGATAACGTTTATTTTAAATTCAGGGTATTTGTAACTCTATTTTTTGCGTGGTTTTATAACTATAAAATTATGTCTTTATAATATATTAGTAATTACAACAAATCAACAGGGCTGTTGGGTTCTGAAAAGTTTCAAAATATTCGTTTAAATACTGTGTGTGTGCTCCAGTTTAGTAATGGGTTTAAAGGCGCTACACTTGTATGGTTGTTCTCCAAAATCAAATAGGCCTGTGTAGTTTCACGCGCGGTTAAATCGATTCCAGCGTTATTCCTATAAAAAAGGCCTACTTCCAATTCTGGAACCATAAAATAATAAGCTTACTTATCAAGAATACTCAATCGTAGGAGCTGTAATTACAAAACTAACTCATATTATGGATATAGTAATACGTTGTATTGAAAATTATTTTATTCATCATTGTGTGCTCTTGATGAGGAATTATACCTATAGAAGAACTCGAATGAGACACAGAATTAATTTATATAAAACACTGAATTTCTGCCGAGTCTACGAGCATGGAAATTGCATTGCCAAAGGAATAGTCAGGTGGTTAACACATTCAATTACAAACAGGGACAGTAAGATTACATGTTTTTTACAACTTCTACTCGAAAGGGCTTACGTAAGTTAATATTGTAATGGTATAAATGTAAATGTACACAAATGAGAATAACTAAAATGTCTGCCGTGTGTGTTTTTAACTGAATCAGCTGTTAAAAACTTACCAACGAAAGCCAAATATTTGTTATTAGGAGTTGATTCTTCTCGTCCTATAGCAAGACACAACAAAAAGGGAAACAACCGTTTGTTAGTTACGAGACGAGACACATGCAGACGAACGGCCAGCGTACAGATTCGGAACCAGCCAAGCTGAAACCACCAGTAACTCAGTAGTCTGCCATTTTAATATTTCAAAGCTTAAATAAACAAGTTCCAAGTCACACGTTCCTCTTATTATTTTTTTTTTCGCACTGGCATTAACAACCATCAAGACGCATTATAATATCATTAGTTGATCTAAACCTCGCGATATTTTAATGCCCAAAGTACACGTGACAACACTCGGCGAGTAAGAAAGCTTAACTCTAATGCTGAATTGTAGTTCCTCTGCCGGAATCCCTGTTTGTAAGCTACCGAATCTGCTCAGTTGGTATCACCGTAATTTTTCATTATTTTTTTCATGAACTAAAACGACAGCTCGTAGTTTATTTTGTGCTGTATTCAGTATTGTCATTGCACAGATTCGCAATATATTCTGTTTTATTGATACCAATCCATTGAATCCGATGTGTTCCTCAGTAATATTCAAGAATTCAGTCCGTACCACAAAGAAAACAAGACGTCACCATTACAAAGATCAGTTCATTAACATTGTTTAAGGAAATAGTCGCTGTTTATTATACGAAACACATAAATATAAAATGTATCGTTGCTGATTGTTAAAGAATGGGACGTTTAGTTAACAATGGGCTTTAATGGGTTATAAAGAATAAAATATTGCGAGGCGTGTTTGTCCCAGAGGCAACTGCATTAAGTCTGTTAATAAAACCAGGTAATTTTACGACGGAATAATACTTTGCACGAGGAGTTTTTGAATGTTATAACTCTTTTCAGTATCTCTTTCAATTCGAAGCAAATTTTGAATAATATTTTATCACTCTTTGATAGAATATTCTCTAATTGGTAATGTAGTTACATTGTTTGAATGTACCATAGTTTCCAGTCATTTCTTGAAACTCTGTTACTGAATGTGTATATTGTGTGCGGTAAACTACCCATTTTTCGCTATTTACATATAATTGCTTTTCTTGAACACTGGGTTCTGTACTGTGTTGGAATACAGATTAATGGCAAGTATCGACCTTAGTCGTCGTCCCATGAGGACCTTTGTAATTTCAATGTTTTACGTCGAACGAAAACTTTGTAATATGTGCGTACTACGGGACAGACTCTGGGGGTTCAATTCCCGGTATAAATACTTCTCCATTTACCACTACGCGTAGCCGATTCACCAGTTTCATATCCAGTGGATTATGGGACCTCTTTCTCAGGTAATAAAGTGGCCGGAGCGTGTAGCTGACGATTTACATTCACCTAGTGGGGAGCTTTACATTTACTTATTTATAAGCCTTCATGTGACGAGGCTTAGAGATGAAGTGAATAAAGCTGTCTCGACCGGTGGACTGAATATCCTGACAGGTTTTCCATAGTCTCTCCAGAAAAATGCTGGTATATATTAATTAGGCCACGACCGCTTCCTTCCATATTCTTTCTGATGTATTAATCTTTAATAATCCTGTCATTCGACGTTATATAATAGCAGTTATTTGTATACTTGTTAAGATAAATCAAAAATAAATAAAAGAATTAGTGATTAAGTGAAACTTAGGAAAAACGTAAATTATACGTCTTTCGGAAAGTCACACAACAGTTCTGCGTGGACTGTAAATATTCTTAACAGTTCTGTATAGTTTTAAGCACTGAATGAACCATGACGTTTTTTCTGGATTGTAAATATAATAATACACGTTTCCATTGTTTTTCTCAGAAGTAAGTATGTCAGAGATTTATAAACCACACATAATTTGCTTCACAGATACATAATAATAGTAAATTAAGGTATTATCGGTTATGGCTTAAGAAAACCTTGAAAATGGAGTTATTTTTATGGTGTTTGTCAATAGGGTAGTTCATTCCTCAGATATATTGGAAAACCAGTTTTCAGTACAAAGAGGATCACACGTCTGACACAAAGGTGAAAGCTGAAAACAGATTACTTGCCGGATATTCTGTTTAATAGTTATTTAAGGGGCAATTACAAATGGATTAAACTAAGAAGCACGTATGCCAGTTGAGTTATTATACAAAACTATTAAATTATCGCGATGAATTTTGAAATTGAACGAAATATAATTGTAAATATTTCTTAAAAATATAAGGTTGTTACAAGAAATGCGTTGACGGGTGATAAAATTAAAATTGTTTCATTCGTGTATTTTGAATGACAGTCTACTGGTTTATGTGGTTCCAGTCTGTGGTGATGTATGCACTAAACAGCTGAGCCTCTCGTGTAGTCGTAGCCAATCAACGGACAGCAGTATCGAAATATCATGACACATTCACCATATGGGCCATTGAGGAGCGCAGTAGTGCAATATGAAATCTGAATATACCTTAACTTGTCCATTTAGATTGCATTTGGTTACAATAGATTACTAAGATTAATACACAATATTTCATTGTTTTCAGTAGTTGCACGAGTGTCCGTAGAAAAATTGTTTTCCTTATGGAAATAACATAGAATATGCTGTTTGTTGTACACTTGAAATCAAAAGTAACAAAAGTAGAATTACGTACGCATATCGGATTTAGACACAGAACGAATTCCAATTTTGAATAAATAAAAACGTTTCCTTGGAAAGCAAGAAAATTCTTTTGAAGGTTTGAAATAAGACGTGTAGGTTTCTTTATGACTAGTCAGTGATGTATATTATTCCATTTTACATTATTTTGTCCGTCTTTGATTTTGTAACTTTTTTACATTAATACCCTGTGGTTGATGTGTCTTCTCCTAGACAGCTCCAGAAATCAATAGAAGTGTACCATTTGACGGATGAAGATCATTTAGATCTGAGTTACATCTTATCTAGTGCTTCATATATTAGATGTGTTGTGGTATCACTTTTGAGAAATTATTTCATTATATATATATATATATATATAAACTATTTATTTGGTGGAAATTTTCTGACCAACGTTTTAGAAAATCAAATAAAATTTTGATATCCCAAGTATTGTTACAGTACATCTCTGTTGTGGGTTAAGTCAGTAATAAATGATGTACATTAGTTTGTAAAGAGAAAACATCCTTTTTATGTGGATCAAAACGAAACAAGATTTTATGTTGCAAATCAGTATTTCTGTAGCGCTATTACGAATCCTCAGTGACCCAGAGCATATTTCTCAGCATGAAGATGAGAGCCGGACCATTTGCGTTCTATGGAGTCACTTACCAAATTCAACCAAGCGTTTGTTGTCAGAATTTGGTTCTTTTCGTCCTAGAAGAAGGGAAAAATAACACACACGGGTCAACTGATGTATTGATTAGTCTGAAGCACCACTAAACTTCTGTTACATCTTCATGCTGCTTTTTGAGAGTATATACATAAAACGTTTGGAAACAAAGGGGAAAGGATAATAAACTTAATGTAATTATATTATTCATTAAAACTCTCAGATTTACTAATTAAATTATTTTGCAGTAACAATAAGATTTGGTTCATTTAAGGTAACCAAAATTAACCCTTTCCATGTCTACTTCTCATTTAATTTGTTTGTTTGTGGGTTGAAGAACTTCGGTTCTCAATGCATAATTTCTACTACTGAAATGTCACAAACAGATTTAACTGTTGGTAACTTTAATTATTTTCGCCTGATATATTTTTGTGGTGACGGGTGATTTTCGCTGTTGAAAAAATTAAACCTACTTTCAAATGCTGAGAAGAGAACAGGAGACATTTTGATATTTTTATGTTCATTAAATAAACGAAAACAGGAACCGATATTTCTAAGCGAAATATCTCGTGCATGTAGTGGAAAGGAATGCAAACGTCTTAAAATGACAGTTACGATACTACTGAATTTACCTTTGAATTCGATTAATCATTAAGCTCATCAGTAAAACTAGTCTGTCAATCTGGATGTCGATAATTACGAGTACACCTAAATGACACATTTAAATGTTATAATTTCAGTTTGGATATAAGCTATCTGGTACGTGATTTTTCAGAGAATGATGATTCAACCCAAAGTTTATTGGATTTCCTATATATTACATAATTTAAATTGTATTTATAGCGTTGTGTAATAGTTTCTCACGCAGAAAGATAGAATTATACAAATTATTTGACAATTCACTAATACTTCCTTTTAGTAAATACATGATTTTTCACAAAGGATTCGTAAGCTTAATGATCTCACAATGGTCATGATCGTAACATTTAGATGCACGTAATGCTTTTTAACGTTGTTGGTTATGAAATACATCGCTGTCCACTTTATTAAACTTTTGTAAATAAACTGAAATTATATATATTGTAATTATTGTTGCCAGTGCGTCATTACAAAGCAAATTTTATTTTGGATTCGCTTTCAAAGAACAATGCGTAATTATTCTTTGCTGACAGATACACAGAGTGAACACATTTTACGCAATGTAAATTCAGCGCTTGGGGTACTGACATGAAGATTCCATTACATTCAGTATTGTTCTGTTCAGTGACTATTTTGTGCCCAAAACAAGGCGTTACTGCGACTACATTTTTATGTGACAGCCCAGACACGGAGTGGACGGCCGTGTTTCGATTCCTGGGATCGTCATTTGGTATTCTTCTTTCCTTTTATACACTGACAGAACTTTTGAATGGAAAAGAAATTGTATACAATTTTTGAACAAAATGTGTTGTTACATGGTGGTTTTAAATTTCCTGTGACTTTTACTGGCAGTATTTCAACTAAATCTTGTTGATGTCAACATCTCACATCTGATTTGTTGCTAAATACTGGATGGCTCATGTAATAAGCCGCAGGTCACTTACGTCATATCAGCTGCCCAAATTAATAACTTATATAAATATGTTCGATAATATACCAAAATGATGCAAATTATTATTTTTTTCTATTGTTTCTTCCACTCTTTCTTTCCTTTTGATCGACATGATGTTTTGTTGTTGTTGAACATTTGAGTAGAATATAAATCTGACATGTTGAGTCTGCCGGCTGAAAATAAAACCCGAACAAGCTTTCGAACACGAAATCCTAAACGATAAGTTAATCGTCTTTTCTACGGTTTGAATTATGTGAAGGAGAAACATGTTT